ACTTCCACATCTCCCTAGGGGCAGGGCAGGATTAGGAAGGGGTGATGCTGAATCTGCAGGATCCTCAGAGACCACAGGGGCTGCTGCACCCGTGAGCAGCAGGCCAGTTGAGAGGAGAAATTGAATCTGCCATCCTGGCAACCAGTCTGTTAGATGCTGCATCCAGCTGAGCCTGGCAGGTGTGAGGGCCAGAGAGAGGGCCAACCAGGATGATTATTTTGCTAAATTTTATATGAAATAGTTTAAGCACACAAACAGTATAAAACTAAAATACTTTTATATCCAGCACTTAGCTTTGTGAGACCTTAATTTTTGCAATAATTGTTTCAGATTCTCTCTCACATTATTTCAAGCTCACTTGAAGTTTCTTTTCCAATCCCATTTCTTCCTGCTAAGTGAAATGTTTACCTTGATTTTGGGGCCCTCCATACATGTTTTTATACCTTCACTACACATGGATCTATCTATACATTATGCAAAACCTTACATAGTGTATGTATTGATTGGTTTGTAGCTTGTTTTTAGTTCAACGTTGTTTTTGAGGTCTATCTATTCATCCATGTTGCTAGAGTTCACTTACTTTCTTTGCTTTCCTATTCAGTTGTATGATTAGAGCAGTTTATCCTTCCTCCCCTTAATGATATTTAGCTTGTTGCTGAATTTTTGCTATTAGGAACAACTCTTCAGTGAGCATCCCTGTCCATGGCTTCACATGTATGTATAAAGTGACTCTCTGAGATCTGCAACTCGGGAAGAAATTGCTGGATTGTAGGATCTGTGCACCCTGTCTCATCCTATAGGAATTCAACATCAAGGCCAGTCATGGGGGCATGAAATGGCATCTGATTGTTTTAATCTGCACTCCCTGATTAGTAATGAGATTAAGAATTGCATCATAGCCCTGGCCCGTTTGGCTCAGTGGTTAGAGCGTCGGCCTGCGGTCCAGAGAGACCTGGGTTCAGTTCCCGCTGGGGGCGTGTACCTCAGGCTTGCGGTTTGTCCCCAACCCTGGTTGGGTTGTACGGGAGGCAGCCACTCGATGTGTCCCTTTCATGTCGATGTTTCTTTCTCTCCCTCCCTCCCACTCTATCTGAACAAAAACTGGGAAAAATGTCCTTGGGTGAGGATAAAAAAAAAAAGGAATTGCATCATACATTAATTTCTATTTGCAATTTTTTCCTTTGATTTGTCTATTCACATATTTGGCCATTTTTTCTTCAATTGCTTACCTTTTTTTTTCTTTTTTGTTAATCTGCACCTGAAGATATTTTTCCATTGATTTTTAGAATGGAAGGGGAGAAAGACATCGATTGGTTGCCTCTGGCACAGTGCCAAAATCAAACCTGCTACCCAGTTACAAGCCCTTGACCAGGAATTGAACCTACAACCCTTTGGTCCAAGGGCTGACACTCTAACCACTGAGAAACACCGGCCAGGGCAGGTTTTTTTATTTTGTTTTGTTTTTAATTTTAGAGAGAGGAAGGGCGGGGAGAGAGAAAGAGAAAGAGAAGAAAAGGAAAGAGAAACATCAGTCAGTTGCCTCCTATGCATGCCTTGACCAGAAATCGAACCTGCCACCTTTCATCGTACGAGACAACACTCGAACCAACTGAGCCACACTGGCCAGGGCTTGATTGTCTTTTTCTTATGTTTCTAAGTTCTGTATTTGTTCTGTGATCACACGTCCCTTGGTACCTTGACCACCTTTTATAAAATGTGGGCACATCTGTGAAGATTCTCTGCTCCCTTCCAGACAGGGAAACTGAGGCCCTGGCAGAGAAGCCTTTTCCACACCTTTGCTAGGAGGCACTGCTGGCTCTGGAGGGCTAAGTGTGGGAAGGGGATGAATGCACTGTCTGCAGGAAACTTCTGGAAGGGCCTTTTCATAACTAGAAAAGGTCCCCACTCCCTTGACTCCTCCCCCTTTCCCTTCCATGCTCTCCTGACCACATCCATTGTGCCCCAGGGGCAGCTGTCAGGTGGGGTCTGCTCCATCTGAATGGCCCCCTGGAGGAGATACCGTGTGAGGGTGCCCTCTGTCACTTATAGGCATATGAAGCTGGCAAATCATGTCTCTCCCTGAGCCTCAGTTTCCCTGTCTAAAAAGTAAGCATGGGGAATATTATTCGGCCTAAAAAGGAAGGAAATTCTGATATACGCTATAACGTGGATGAACCTGAGGATATTATGTTAGGTGAAGTAAACCAGAGACAAAAGGACAAATAGTGTGTGTGATTCCACTGATATGAGGTCCCTAGAGTTGTCAGTTTGAAACAGAAAGTAGAATGGTGGTTGCCAGAGGTTGGGGTTGGGAGGGGATAGGAGTTTTAATGGGGACAGAGTTTCTGTGAATGCACTTAATACCACTGCACTATACACCTAAAAATGGTTAAAATGGTAGGTTTTGTGTTACGTATATTCTACCACAATAAACCTTTAGGAGAAAAAAAATGGGCACCAAAACAATGTGCACCTCCTGGGCTAGTGAAGCTTCTGGGCTTGGCCCTCTGTTATTAGTGTGGGAATGGGGAGCTACTCTAACCGGGTGTTTAGGTATGTAGTCACCTTGAGTCACCCAGCTCCTGGGACAGGTCTGCACTGGAGCTCCCACCTGTGGGGGAGCCATCACCTTCCCCGGGGCCCTCCCAGTTGGGCTGCTTCCTCCCTCTGCCCCTGCAGCCCTGCCAGCCCAGATCCACCAGGAACTGAAGCTGTCTCCTCTCTGCCACACCCTGCAACCCACACACTACTCTGCACCCACTCCGGCCCTATTCCCCTCTCGGGTGCTCTTGAGATCCTCAGCATTTATTGAGCACCCGCTGTGTGCTGAAGATTCCTGTCCCCAAGGAGCATCTGGTCCTCTCCCAAGTGACAAGGAGGTCAAGGAGAGCTGTGCCCCAGCCAGAACGACTGTCCTCCCCACTCTGCACTAAGTTCTGTAAAAGCATGAAATTGCATGGACTCTTCCCAGCAGCTCTGTGAGGTGTCCTGCCCCTCATGTTTGTGCAGAACCTAAGGCTGCGAGCCAGTGAGGAGCTTGCCTGCAGCCTGCCTCCTTGAAGCCCTTCCCAGCGGGAGGTTGGCACCTAGCTCCTACTGTAGCCACCGCTGCCCCTCCCTGCGCGCAGAGTCCAGTTATTCGGGCACTCCTGTCTCTCCCACCCCGTCCCTCACACACTGGACCTAGCGGCCTCTGCTATGGGGGACATACTTTGGTCACTTTTGTTATCCCCACAGGACCGAGCCAAGGGCTAAGCAGAGTTCAGGATGTACTTTGAGACCCGGTGTTGGGTGGGGGGGTGGGGGGTAAGAGCCAGGCATGTTGGGACAGAACAGACTGGACTGTTTCCTGCCTATCTGAGCCTCAGGCCCCCTCATCTGGCAATGGAGCTATGAACAGTTCCTCAGAACCAGGAGTCAAGAAGGCAGCATGTGGAAAGCTCAGGATAGCAGGGGCCCAGAGGCACCTCCTTACTGTGAGGCTGGGTGTTCTCTAGGCTCCTGACACACCCATTCACTGTCTGAAACAGTGAGGTTGTAACCACATCCTGCCTGGTCATTAACTGCCTCTACTCCCCACGCCTGGCATCCTGCCATAGCCCATTCATTCTGGATTCTCCAGGGCAGGCCATCGCAGGCCCTCTCTTCTTGGTCCCTCCTCTCTTCTGGTCCCCAGTCATTGGGTGTCCCCCTGGATGTAGACGTGGGGAGCCAGGAAGGGAGGGGCAAATGTCTGGGTTTCTCTCAGCCTCCAGCCGGCTGCTTGATTCAGCATGCCCTCCCCTGGAGTGCCACTTTCCTAGGCGTGTGGGTGGTGTGACGAGCCAGCTGGTCATTAGAGGGCCTGGGCCTTCCTGTGGAGCGGGCACTTCCCTTGGCCTGTACCTCTTGGCCTCACCAGGAGGGCTGACCCCTGGGCTGGAGCCACCCACCCAGGGTGTCTGCTGGCCCTGCAGTGACCTGAGCTCTGGAACCCTGGGAGGTGGGGAAGCTGCACTCCTGTGCTTAGTCCCTTGGTATGGATGGCGTGTAGGGCTTCTGGGCAGATGGAGACAATGCCAAGCAGTGGTAAGGACCCAAGCGAGGAGGTGGACAGATATTCTGGGGCTTGGTCTCGGCTCTGTCCTCAGTTTGTAAGAGTGACGTTGGGCTGGTGACTCTACTTCTCAAGGCCTTAATTCCTCCATCTGTGGAATGGGGCTGAAGAGAAGCCCTGCATTCCAGCATTGAAGGGATTCCATGACAGGGACTCCATAGTGGGCTAGCTTGGTGCCTCGCACACATCCTTCTCAATGCCCCACTCTTTTCCCAGGGTTCTGTTGTGCTTTCCTTCTGCTCTCCCCACCCATCCCCTGTGCCCCGGAAGGGCAGGATGGGAAGTTTGCAGGGACGCCCTGTTTTATGAAGCGTTCATTACTGTTGTCATTATTATTATTATTATTATTATTATTTTAATCCTCACCTGAGGACATTTTTCCATTTATCTGCAGATAGACTAGGAGGGAGAGAAGGAGGGGGTGAGAGAGAGACACATCGATGTGAGAGAGACACATCAGTTGGTTGTCTCCCACATGACCCCAACCAGGGCCAGGGCCCAAACCGCAGCCAAGGTACGTGCCCTTGACAGGAATTGAACCCACTACTCTTTGGTCCATGGGCCGATGCTCCAACCTCTTTGAGCCAACCCAGTCAGGGCTGTTGTCATTATTTATATTATCATTAATCAAAATAAGGTGGCCCAGTCCCATAACCTAGGCACCCTTGTTCCCCTCCCAAGAGAAACAGATCCATTTGTCTAAACAGGTTTTTTTTAAAACCTTGATTTAAAGTCTAGATTAGAAAATAGGATGTAAAGTGAAATTACAATTTTATTTTTAAAAGTATACACAGAAAGGACTAGAAGATTATTATTACTCATTGAAAAGTTAACAGTGGGTAACCCTGGGTGGAGTTTTACAGGGGATTTCATTTCTGTCCTTACGCTTTTTATTTTTTCCCAGGCATTCTCCCGTGAGCAGCATCTAGTACCTTTTTCATCCCGTTCATCTTATACTGCTCGTTACAAGAGCAACGTGCCTTGGCAGAGTGACCACGGATGAGATTCCTTACACACGTTTATTTTGTTGCACACCTTCTGTATGTCACTGGCTGGATTTCCTGAATGTAGCTTCTAATCTAATGTTTCCCAAACTTGGCCAATCATTACTGTCACCGAAGTCATGTATTAAAAAAATTAGATTCCCGGCTTTACCTGAGACCTGCGGAACTGGACTCTTCAGGGAGAGAAGCTGCTGTTGCTGCTTGTAGTTTCTTTATACACACCCATGGACGGACACAACCAGAGATAATTTTGCATAAATGCACATTTGTGATCATGTCTTCCTGCTTCAGGAGGAGAACAGTCTTGTTGTCTTGTCCCCGCCCCCAGGAGCTCCTCGTCGTCACACCTACTGTGTGTGTGTCCTCCGGTCCCCAGTGCTCCTGGGTTCCTGTATGGACACATCTACATGCACACACATAGGAGTGCTCAAACTTCCCTATTTGGTTTACAAAAGTGAGTCCATATTAAGCCTCCTCTTGCGCATTTGTATTTTCTCATGCTGCAGAAATCTCTTCAGGCCCCCGGCGCAGCTTCATGGCAGCTGGTTCTGAGTGACCTGGTGGTTTTCAACAAGCCCCTCCAGTCAGTTCGATCAGTGAGAAGATGGGGTCTAGCCAGGAATTCCCAAATGCTCTTGCTGGAATGCGGGGATTCTCCTATGAGGCCGAATTAGCTATCTGACAGTGTGGGTCCTGGTCTCAGTGCTCAGTCTTCCTGTCTGTGAAATGGGGAGGTTGTCTGCCATCTGTCTCAGTGGTTTCCCAGCCATCTGGTGACCACATGGTTTCTGGAAAAAGACTAGCCCATGGGCTGTCCCTCGAGTGGCAATACTCCGACTTCCAGTTAGACTTGAGGTGTAATTTTGGACAATGGGTCCATTGTCTCCTTCCCCTGACCCCAGGCTACCCTGCAGTAACCCCCTCATGTGGGTCCTTTTCAGGTTGAACCATGATTCCAGTGACAGAGCTCCGCTATTTTGCGGACACACAGCCCGCGTACCGGATCCTGAAGCCATGGTGGGACGTGTTCACCGACTACATCTCCATTGTCATGCTGATGATCGCAGTCTTTGGGGGCACACTGCAGGTCACCCAGGACAAGATGATCTGCCTGCCTTGTAAATGGGTCACTAAGGATTCCTGCAACGACTCTTTCCGGAGCTGGGCGGCCCCAGGCCCAGAGCCCACCTACTCCAACTCTACTGTCTTGCCAATCCCTGACACAGGCCCCACGGGAATCAAGTATGACCTGGATCGGCACCAGTACAACTACGTGGACGCCGTGTGCTATGAGAACCGCTTGCACTGGTTCGCCAAGTACTTCCCCTATTTGGTGCTTCTGCACACACTCATCTTCCTGGCCTGCAGCAACTTCTGGTTCAAGTTCCCACGTACCAGCTCAAAGCTGGAGCACTTTGTGTCTATCCTGCTCAAGTGCTTCGACTCGCCATGGACCACACGGGCCCTGTCAGAGACGGTGGTAGAGGAGAGCGACCCCAAGCCGGCCTTTAGCAAGATGAATGGCTCCATGGACAAGAAGTCATCTACTGTCAGTGAGGACGTGGAGGCCACTGTGCCCATGCTGCAGAGGACCAAGTCTCGGATCGAGCAGGGCATTGTGGACCGATCGGAGACAGGCGTGCTGGACAAGAAGGAGGGGGAGCAGGCCAAGGCACTGTTTGAGAAGGTGAAGAAGTTCCGAACCCACGTGGAGGAGGGGGACATTGTGTACCGCCTGTACATGCGACAGACCATCATCAAGGTGATCAAGTTCATCCTCATCATCTGCTACACTGTGTACTATGTGCACAACATTAAGTTCGACGTGGACTGCACTGTGGACATTGAGAGCCTGACGGGCTACCGCACCTACCGGTGTGCCCACCCCCTGGCCACTCTCTTTAAGATCCTGGCATCTTTCTACATCAGCCTGGTCATCTTCTACGGCCTCATCTGCATGTACACGCTGTGGTGGATGCTGCGCCGCTCCCTCAAGAAGTACTCATTCGAGTCGATTCGCGAGGAGAGCAGCTACAGTGACATCCCCGACGTGAAGAATGACTTCGCCTTCATGCTGCACCTCATCGACCAGTATGATCCGCTCTACTCCAAGCGCTTTGCCGTCTTCCTGTCGGAGGTGAGTGAGAACAAGCTGCGGCAGCTGAACCTCAACAATGAATGGACGCTGGACAAGCTGAGGCAGCGGCTTACTAAGAATGCACAAGACAAGCTGGAATTGCACCTGTTCATGCTCAGCGGCATCCCTGACACCGTGTTTGACCTAGTGGAGCTGGAGGTGCTGAAGCTGGAGCTGATTCCAGACGTGACCATCCCACCCAGCATTGCCCAGCTCACGGGCCTCAAGGAGCTGTGGCTGTACCACACAGCGGCCAAAATTGAGGCACCTGCTCTGGCCTTCCTACGCGAGAACCTGCGGGCACTGCACATCAAGTTCACGGACATTAAGGAGATCCCGCTGTGGATCTACAGCCTGAAGACGCTGGAGGAGCTGCACCTGACGGGCAACCTGAGCGCGGAGAACAACCGCTACATCGTCATCGACGGGCTGCGCGAGCTCAAGCGCCTTAAGGTGCTACGGCTTAAGAGCAACCTGAGCAAGCTGCCACAGGTGGTCACAGACGTGGGTGTGCACCTGCAGAAGCTGTCCATCAACAATGAGGGCACCAAGCTCATCGTGCTCAACAGCCTCAAGAAGATGGTAAACCTGACGGAGCTAGAGCTGATCCGCTGTGACCTGGAGCGCATCCCTCACTCCATCTTCAGCCTTCACAACCTGCAGGAGATCGACCTCAAGGACAACAACCTGAAGACCATTGAGGAGATCATCAGCTTCCAGCACCTGCACCGCCTCACTTGCCTTAAGCTATGGTACAACCACATCGCCTACATCCCCATCCAGATCGGCAACCTCACCAACCTTGAGCGCCTCTATCTGAACCGCAACAAGATTGAGAAGATCCCCCCCCAGCTCTTCTATTGCCGCAAGCTGCGCTACCTGGACCTCAGCCACAATAACCTGACCTTTCTCCCCGCTGACATTGGCCTCCTGCAGAACCTCCAGAATCTGGCCATCACGGCCAACCGGGTGAGTGGCTTAGCCCTGGCTCCACCTGCGGGCTGGTGGGTGGGCTAGCTGTGGTCCGTGGTGGGGGTGCTCAGGAGCCCAGTGCCTTGGGACCTCACCTCTGGTTCCCAGAACTGCCTGGGAGCAGCTTTTAAAAATACATATTACCCTGCCCCATTCAGCCAAATCAGGATGTCTGGGGTTGGGAGCCTGTCTCTGCCACAGAATGCTGCAGAGTTCTCCTGCCAGGAAGATGGGTAGTCAGGTGGGGTCTGTCCCCATGGTGTCCTTGTGCAGGTTTGTCATAGGCAGGGTATGCAGGGGCAGGAGATCCAAGGCCAGTGGTGCTCTCTCTGTCTGTCTTTCAGGGTTGGGTTGTGGGGGGCAGGAGTCGGCCTGGATCTAGCAGTATTTCCTCAGCCCATTCCAGACCAGGTTTGGAGCTGAAGCACCAGTCTGGGTCCACCAGGAACAGGAACTCTGTGGTGACTGCTGCCTGCTGAGGGGAAGCCAAACTGTCTCTGCAGCTCCTAGCATGTTACTCTCACCCCTCTCCCCTCTGCATTTAGGGGTGGTGGAAGGCAGACTTGGGCTTGGTTGGGCTGACTTATCACCACCTGCTTCTCTGGAGAGGAAACTGCAAACCGTCCGTTCGGGGTTGGCCGTGTGGGATGCCACACCCTGGAGACAGTCAGCAGTCCCTCGCCTGGCCTGGGAAGCCCCCCACCCAAGGCCCCTCCACAGAGGCAGGCGGGTGGGGTTGAGGACAGGGTGCTCCTGTGGCTTTGTGGTCTGGCCTCTGCAGTAGAAGCAAAGCCACAGCCACTGAGGGGGCCACCCCTCCTGGGGACCTGCAAGGAGGTTGACAGTGGAAAAAACAGATCTTCTGGGTCCCTACTTTCAAGGTGGAGACTCTTGGTGAGGTGGGTGGTGCTGGAGTTCTGTGTCCAGGAGCTGCGACCCCCGGGAGGGGGCTGATTCAGCCACCACATCTGTACCTCTATCGAAGACAGTGGCATAGAGCAGCAACCATTGGTTAGCGAACACTTGCTGTGTCACCTGTTCAGGGCATAGTGTTTCCTCAGCCCCAGACACAGGCAGGCAGCCCCCGAAATGCCCCTGCCCAGGAAAGGACACGCCTCTCCAGTGTCACTCAGATCAGAGAGTCCAGGCGTGCCCCTTAGAAGCCCCCTCCCCTCTTCCCTAAGCCTCTCAGACTGCAGACCAACCTGTTTCCATATGTCAGAGATGGTGACAAATCCTGTTCCCCTCTCCCAAATTAGGACTGAGCCTATACCTGTGAGAAAGAACAAGGGAGAAGGTCACATCCCAGGTGGCTTCACTCTGGAGAATCTACCCCTAGAGCTTGGGACAGGTTCCCTAGTCAGGAAAGTTGGACTTCTGCAGAGAAGCCATGTTTGGAGAGCACCATAAAATCTGGCCCCTTCTTTAACATGTATAGGGGGACCGTGTGGTTTCCCCAGAACTCACCCTGGGGCCAGATAGCCTCTGGAATTTGGTTGGACATGGTCATCCCACGACCCTTTGGGATGCCTGCCTTGTCCAGGGAGCTGTGAACATTGCAGTTTGATGGGCCTTTCTTTCAACTGAGGGCTGTGGCCAGTGGCCAGCCTGATTCCCCATCCTGACCCCCACCCCCACCCCCACCTGCTCACCCCAAGTATGCCTGTTAGGTCATGCCTAGTGGCTGAGGTCACCCCTCAGGAAAGGAGCTGATAGAAGGAGGCATGCTCTCCCCAAGAAGGAGACCCTGTGACACCCTGTTTATTGCACTGCTTAATCATGTCCTGTCCCCGCCCCCTCGAATGCCAGAGGCCTTATAAGGAAAAGAACTCACTTGGACCAGTCCTACTCAGGCTCCTCCTTTTAAGCCAGAGCCCCTCTCCTTCCTCAGGAGTCTGATGGTTCTTGCGGGCCACCCTAGCTTGCAGGTAGAAAGGCAGGGTGGGTATGGCCCAGCACAGGCATTCATTTGTCCACTCATTCATTCATTTGTTCATTGACTTGACAAATCTTTTTTGAGCACTCCTAGCGTGGAGTGAGATGCTGGGACGCAGGGACGAACAAGGCCCACAGTCTGCCTGTCCTGACCTCACTGTCTGGTGGAGAAAGCACAGTGTAACAAAAGCTATGTTGGGGCATAAGGTTCCTGGGAGCACAGTGTGGCCTCAACCCAGACTAACCCAGGGTTGGTGGGCTTCCTGGAGGAAGAACATTCCACCTGGTGCTGCAGAATGAGAAGTTAGCCAGGTGAGAAGAAAGGACCTGTTAGGTTCTGTCCCTGAAATGTAACTGAAAGCAGCAGGAGGAGCAATGAGCCATCCCTGGAATTTGGACTTTCCCTGAGGGCAGGGGCCAGGCTGTCCACCAGGGCTGGGAGGAGCATCCTGTTCTTTCCACTTCTCTTTCAGTGGGAACCTTTCTTTATTTCCTGTTCATTCCTTTTACCAGTCCAGAAACTCAGGCAAGGACCTTTGCTCTTTCCATTCAATGCAAATGTTCACCAGACTCTTGCTGATTGAGCAGTAAAACAGCAAGCCGACTTGCAGTTTAGAGGTTGCTCTTGCTGCAGCTCGAGGGGTGTGTTGGAGGGGGCAAGGTGAGCAGTCAGGAGTTGATAGAAACCCATGTGCAGCCACAGGGGAAGGGGCATGCCTTAACTGGCAGAGGCTGCCAGGGATGGGGAGACACAGGACTTCCAGGAGACTTGGGAGATGGAGCCCACAGGATGTGGGCTAGGTTGGATGTGGGGAGGGAGGGAGCAGTCTGGGGTGACTGGAGGTTTCTCACCTGGCTGCTTGGGTAGATGGATGGTCATTGAGACAGGACACTGGAGGAGGCACAGGTTTTCCGAAAGGAGATTGTATGTCCCGTATTAGGTGTCTGGTGCCCTGGGACATCCAGAAGGCCATGTTGAGTCAGCCTGAAGCTCAAGGTGTCATTGTCCCAGGGCTCATGGGTAAGAAGAATCCTTGACAAGATCACCAGGGAGACAGAATGGAGGGGGAAGGAAGCCTAGCTGGAGACTTCAGGATGGATGGCAGAGGAGCAAGGCAGTGGAGTGTGGGCTTGTGGCACGGAAGGGAGTCAGATAAAAGGAGAATGGGTTTGAATCCAGTGGATTAGGAATGACAGTTGGTGACTTTGGCCAAAGAGTTTCAAGGGTGGATGGGGCAGAAGCTGGATCGCAGTGGGCTGAGGAGAGATGGCATCTTTCCTCAGGGGAGGTTGGAGAATGATGCAGCAGCCCCAGAGGCTCCTGGGAGGTTGTCTTTTTCAAAGATCAGGTATATTGGAGGCCACTTCAGTGCTGATGCGGGAGCCACTGAGGTCCCTGAGAAAGTGGGACATAGTGAGACTGGGGACAAGCCCAGTCCCGGGAAGGACAGGTGTGGCCATGGTGAGGCATTGAGCCACTGAATTCACCTTCTTTTTCTCTGGAGAGAGCTCACTGGCTAGGGCAGGGAGTGTTCCGGGGAGGGTGATTTCAGGGAGGGGGGCTCTGCATGTGAACCCAGCTCTGCCACTCTGCCGGAACCTTTCCCACTGCTCTGACCACGTCTGTGTCATCAGAGGGTGCCCCTGTGGATGGGAGTGGGCTGTCTGGGACGCTCTGGCCCCTCAGTACTGTTGGAGTCCATGTCCTATCTGCCCTTCACTTCATGTCCCTGAACTTGGCCCTACGGACCTGGAGCCACCTCTGCCCCATCCTGACCATTGGGCACAGTGGTGGCAGTTTTGGAAGCCCACGTCAGGAACATCCTTTAAAATAGCCTCAGTGTTCCTCATAGCATGCCCTCTGCCTAGCCATAGCCATGCTGATTTTCCTGTTGGGAAGGACACGTTCCTCACCCAGAATGAGTGTCCTCTTCCAAAAATGGCCAGAGAGATCAAGAGCCTAGTAGGGGGAGGTCCAAGTCTGCCCAGTGGTCCTCAGCCGCAGAAGATCCCAGCTGAGAGGCAGTTCTAGTCCAGTCTTTATATTCTACAAATGGAGAAACTGAGGCCCAGGTAGGGAGGGGCCTTGCCTGAGGTTACACTGTAGAGCACCATATGTGCAGATGGAACTACAGTGGGGCTCTGAGGCAGAGGAAGCCAGGCTCCACCCTTCTGCTGTGACATTGCAGTTCACTTCTCCAGGTTTTGGCCTCCTCCACAGGAAAGCAGTGACAGGGACAGAGCAGCCTCAGAGCTGGTAGGGTCCCTCCTGCCTCGCACATCTGAAGTAGGTTGCTTTAGAGCAGATTGGCTCAGTAAGACCTCAGATTTATAGCTGACACTCACAGAAGGGCAGGGAAGAAGCTGGCACTGTGGGGCTCTTCCCATGTGCCTGCAGACAGCATGTCCCCATGCAGGCCCCATGTTTGCTCCTTGTTCCACCAACAGTGCGGACACTTAGCAGAGCGTGGGCTGTTGAACCAGACTCAAATCTTGGCTCTACCACTTTCCGGCTGTGAACCACTGGGCAAGTTGGCTTCTCTAGGACCTCAGTTACCCCATTTGTAAAATGGGAAGTGTTTACAGAATATTTACAGGTAGTTTCAAGGGTTAAAAGAGTTCATTGTCTCAGTTCTCAGAGTGAGCCTGACTGTGTAATAAGCTAATGGGTGCTGCCCATTATTCTAATTTTGCAAAATCAGAAAGAGGGACCTCTGAATTGCCACTACTGGGCTCCATGCACTCATGAACAGCCTGGGATTTGACAGATGAGGAAACTGAGGCCCAGGAAGGGAAAGTGACACAGCTGGGATTCTCACTCCTATTGGCAGTCTCTCCCAGTTCTCAGCAAGATGTAAGGGAATGGAATTTTCTCAGCCCGCTGCTCTCATAGATTGTTCTCAAGCCAGACAGGACCAGCAGCATGGCTCCTGGCGAGCCCTGGGCAGTGGTTGAGGGGGTGGAGGTGATCGTAACAGGCTAGTGTGATAATGCTTCTTAGGGTGCCAGGTGCTGGGAGACAGTGGGGAACAAGGTGGGCCCAGTCCTGCCCTCTCAGAGCTCATAGTCCTGGGGTGACAGGTGATCAAGCAGTTTCACCATGCAGAGATCAGTGCTGTTGGGGGCAGATGGGTGCCATAGATTACCCGGGAGGTGATAGATTACTCAGGGAAGGCTTCCTGTAGGATGTGACTACAGAGCTGAGACCTAAAGTACAGGTGGAAGTGAGCCAGGCTTTGGCCCAGATTGTGGTGCTGCTGCTGCCCCAGGAAGCTGGAATGGGAAGGTGCTGGTGCCCAGGGGATGGAGGGAGGGAAGCCTTGAACCCAGAGACCCTTAGGTCTGAGCCATGCCCACCTCACCTTCCCCTCTTGCTCCTTCCCCTCTAGATCGAGGCGCTGCCCCCAGAGCTCTTCCAGTGCCGGAAGCTGCGGGCCCTGCACCTGGGCAACAACGTACTGCAGTCGCTGCCCTCCCGGGTGGGTGAGCTAACCAACCTGACCCAGATCGAGCTGCGGGGCAACCGGCTGGAGTGCCTGCCCGTGGAGCTGGGCGAGTGCCCGCTGCTCAAGCGCAGCGGCCTGGTGGTGGAGGAGGACCTGTTCAACACGTTGCCACCCGAGGTGAAAGAGCGGCTGTGGAGGGCTGACAAGGAGCAGGCCTGAACCTTGGCGGACCACCGAGCAGTGGCCAGCAGCGGACCACCGATTGGTCCTCTGGCCCAGGAACCCAGAAACCCTGGGACAACCAGCCTAGCCTCTCAGCCAGGGCAGGAGCCTGGGGTTGGATGTGAGCTGGGCCAGGGTGACAGGACAGTACCTGAGGGGCTGGCCCCTTTTCTTCCTCCGAGACTCATGCCTGCAGGGCAGGCGCCTGTTGGGGAGATCAGAGACCTATCATCTGCTTCAGAGCGCAGTGTTTGGACAGTCAGGCCTCCTCCCTGGAGGCCATCTCTGCCCCAGAGGCTGAGCCATGCCAGAAGTCCAGGGACATCAACTTAGCTCTTGGTATTTATTTTTCTCCACCTCCCGCCCCCTCCCTCCGGATAACTTACACATTCCCAAGAAAGTTCAGCTCAGATGGGGGAGTTTAAGGAAAGGTGGGCTGTTTTGCTTTTCCTTTCATGGTGATGCCGCCAGCATTTAGTGCCCACCCAGACTTGAGCAGGGTGGCCCAGCTGTGGGACGGTCACCCCAGTGGTGTCGGGCTGGCTCTGGCAGCACAGCCCATGGGGGAGCAGGCCACCAGGTGTGAAGCCAGGCCTGGGGCTTGCCTCATCAGTTTTAGATTTTTTTTTTAAGTAAAAAAAAAATTTTTAAGCTTTGACATGGAGGGTTTGGGTATTAAAAAGAAAAAACTTTAAAAAAAAAAAAAAAGACACTAAAGGCCAGTGAGTTGGAGTCTCAGGGCGGGCGCAGTTTTCCTTGCAGAGCGGCAGGACTTTGGGTCGTTTCCTTCCCCCGGGTGTCTTCGAATCTGGTGTGACCTTGGTCCAGAGTTCTGTTTGTTCCTCTCCTCCCCTGGGGTGGGGATTTTTTGTTTTGTTTTTGGTGTCTTGTTTTCCTTCTCCTCCATGTGTCTTGGCAGACACTCATTTCTGTGGCTGTAGGCCAAAGGGAATGTTCTGGAGCTGCCAAGAGGGGAGGAGACTCGGGCTGGCTAATCCCCGGACGAATGGTGCTCCATCCTCCCCATCCCTGGTCAGTGTTAAGGAGCCAAGAGGAGCTACCTCGCCCTAACTCTGCTTTCCCACCTCACGTGTCATGAGTGCCCAGTGCCACCACTAGCCTCAGCTGCTTCCATCAGCCTTGTCGCCACCTGGTCCTTCAGAACAGACTGTTGGAAGCGGGGCCCTGGGTGGGGAGGGGGCCCTGGGTGGGGAGGTCGCCCTGGAAGAGCAGGCTCCCCAGGTTTTGGTTCCAGTTTCTGTCCCAGGCGCCTGGCACACATGGCCCACTCAGCACCTGGTGATGAGAAGCCACCTCACTTTAGATCAGTCCCTGGGGTCCCTGCCTTAGATCAATCACTTGGACACTAAGGCACGTTTTAGCATCTCTTGTCTTAATAATTATGTCTCTTTGTCCATTTGTGTTTTCTGCGTCATGTCATTGGATATTATCCTCAGAAATAACGCACACTAGTCTCTGACAACCACGAAGCAATCCGTTACATGTGGGTCTGAACTCGTCGACTCGTTTGAATATCAAATAAAGCTATAACAGAAAGTAGTCTTTGGGGGTCTCCATGTTGTGGGGGGACCCTTCTCTCAGCTGTCTGAGTGACCATTGGGCACCTACAAGATAGTTCACTGTTCCTGTCACCACCCGTGGATGTGGGCTGCACAGAGCACCTGTGGCATGTCGGGCGTGGGCCCGGCCAGGGCTTCCACAGCCAGCACATTCTCTGCCAGCTCAGCCGCCTGTGGTTTGGGCCCTCATGAGCTTCGATGGGAAGGGGGACAGAAAGGAGGGCACTGGAACAGGAGCCAGTTGTCTCAGGTCCCTCTGCATGAAGCAGATCCTTCCCCTCCCCTGGTCTCCATATCCCCATCTGTACAATGGGAACTTCCTCTCTCTGCTCTCATAGGTTCTTGTAATTCCAACAGCCAGTCCCCAGGGCTCTGCAGAGGTGGGGCTAAAGTGACCCTGGGAGCGTCTGACCTGCTCCCAGCCCCTTTGGGGGCCTGCTGAAGGTTGTGGGGTCAAGGGCAGAGGCTCAAGGAGATGGGCAGAGCTGCCCTCAGACTCTAGCTCTGCTGTTTTGATGTGGGGGCTGTTTTCTCCTTTGTAAAAGGATGGTGTTGGCAGCTGTGCAGGATTGTTCTGAGGCTTACTCATGATGACTATGCAGGTAGGTGGGGTTTTCAGTAGAGAGCTTTGCTCCTGGTACCCAATAAAGGACATTTTTCTTTTGGACCAGTGAGGCTTGTGCTAGGCTGACAAGGGGGCCCTAGGGCAGGGATCATTTGATAAAGAAGAAAGGGCAGCCTTGGCCGGTTTGGCCCAGCGGTTGGAGCGTCGGCCTGTGGACCAGAGTCTCGGGTCAGTTCCTGCTAGGAGCACGTACCAAAAAAATAAAATAAAATAAAATATCCCCACGTTCTACCCAGAACAGCTCCTGCTAACCTGTTAGGCATTTACTAAGTGCCAGGCCTTGTGCCAAACTTTTTTTATCCTCACCCGAGGACATTTTTTTCGTTTTTTGTTCAGATATAGTGGGAGGGAGAGAAACATCGACGTGGAAGGGACACATCGAGTGGTCGCCACCTGCATGACCAACCAGGGCCGGGGACAAACTGCAACCGAGGTACGTGCCCTTAGTGGGAACCGAACCTGGGTCTCTCCGGACCACAGGCCGACGCTCTAACCGCTGAGCCAAACCGGCCAGGGCCCAAACTCTTCATTAGCAGTGAAGTACATCCTCCTCCTTACAAGAGAGACTTCTGTTATCCCCAAATTACAGATGAGGAAAGTGAGGCCAGGTGCGCAGAGAACCCAGTCTGCCTCACTGAGCCTCCACTGCAAGCCTTTGGCGAGGTTCCCAGAGGAGCTGTGAGTCCCGCACGATGGCCCCTCACTTTCCTGGTGCATGTCTGTCCGTTGCGGGGCTGCATCAGGGGAGGCCAGAGAGCCAGTGGGCTGAATCTCCACCGTATTTCCTATATGGTTTCACCTCACTTTCTCCCAGCCTAACCCTGTGAGCGTCGTCCTCCCAGCATCAGCTTGGTGAGGCTAACTTCTCCCCTGCCCTCCTAGCGAAGCTGAGACCAAGCAGCTAGCCCCAGCGGGTAACCCAAGAAATAAAATTTGAGTCTGGGCCAAGGCTCCTAAGAACTGAGCTGTGTCCCTGCACTCAATCCTGAGACACTCTGTCCCTTTGCCATTCAGAAAGCATCATTTCCGGGAAGGCCAGTGGCAGATTTTCAGTAGCTGCAGCCAGAACGGCCGTCAGCAGTTGAGCGTGTCTGCTAGAGGGGTAGCTGTGCATGCTGTTCTGACCCCTGGCCTCCACTATGCCAGCCTAACTTGAGACGCCCAACATCCTAGGCCTGGAGGTGGGGAACAGACCCCTTCTAAGATCCCCCTTATCTTCTACTTTCCTGTGAGCTGCAGGTGAATCTACACACTCCCTTCCATGATCCTCCCAGGACCTAGGGTTTCAGAGCTGGGAGGGGCCCAGATAATTCCCGGAAGGCCTCCTCCACCTTTGGAAGGCAAAGCCAGTCAGGGACAGTCTGGTGTGCAGAACCCACAGATCACCCTGCATTTCCCCTACCTAGATAATGCTGGGGGCCCCTGGAACTTTAGTCACAATTAGTGGTGGCACCTGGGCTGGCACTCAGGTATCCATATGTCTGCCTGGCTTCTTTGCCTAGACACTCCTTGAATTCAACTCTGGGTACCTGGTAAGCAGCCAGCCCCAGTGTGGGGGAGCAGTAAAAGCCTTGAAGGAGATCAGAAAGGGTTAATCCTAGATTCACTGGGAAGATGGACTCAGGGACAGAGGCAAGGGCTCCTCCAGGATCCCAAGTCAGGGGGCCTGAAAAGATGGGGGTTTAGTCTGGAGGGGGCCCGGGTGTGGCAGGGATTGAGTATTATCTGGGTAGGGAATGGTTAAGTCCTCTGGGCCTCCCATGCTCTATGCAATCTCCTCCCCTCTTGACCTTTTCCCTCTCCAGCACTGCGTGCAGCCTCCTCCCCTCCTGACCTTTTCCGTCTCCAGCACTGCGTGCAGCACAGAGAACTGCCTGACTGTCCAGCCTTGTCCTCATGGCCCATCTGAACCCCGAGCAGCTCCAGAAGGTAGGGGCCTGCAGGGTTGGGGTAGGGAGGGTCAGGTAGTAGTGGGAAGACCCTCTGGACAGAACGGAAAGTACTTCCTAGTCCTGAGAACTCAGCCCCACCCCCCTGCCATTTTTAATAGAAGAAACTGAAACCAGAGTGGTTGATTCCCAACCACGACCTCTAACTTCTGTACACAGCCTGGGGTGTCCAGACCGCAGGGCCAGGTGGGATGGGAATATGTGCATATGTGACCAAAACCCATAATAAAGCACTAGGATTAGCCAGCCCCAGCTCAAATCTGGGCCTGCGATTTGGGGGCAGGGCCAGCGCCGGGGTGATTGTCTCCCAGAGCCGGACTTGTGTGCCAGAGTCCAACGTGCTCTCAAACAAAAGCTTAACTCAGGGGAATTAGAGTGACACAGTCCTTTACGTAACATAACCTTTGTCGTTTGTTCCTGATGACAAGAAAAATACAGAAGAGCTCAAAGAGAACATTTTAAACCACCCCATAAAATTCTTACACTGTCACAATATTTTTAATATATAGCCGTAGAATCTTTAAAAGGTCCATCATAGGCCGGCCTGTTTGGCTCATTGGAATGGGCGTCGTCCCATGGACTGAGAGGTCCCTGTTCAGTTCCTGATCAGGGCACATGCCAGGTTGCAGCTCGATCTCCAGTGGGGGGCATGCAGGAGGCAGCCCATCTATGTTTCTCTCTCACAACGATGTTTTTATGTTTCTCTTAAAAAAAAATTATACGGTCCATCGTAATAGCTTTGGCTTATGCTTATTGAGTGGGTGCCATATGCCCAAGTTCTCACAATGGCTAGGATACTTACTAGTTCGTATTTGTTTTTTTTTTTTTTCCCCCATCAGGAACATATTGCCATGTCAGTAAATATTTTCCTTTTTTTTAAGTAAATATTTTTCTACCACATGATGTTTTTCAGTTATGTTGTGTTCTAGACAGATAGACTGTCCTTTATTGAACAAATCCCCTTGTGCTGAATGAACATTTAGGTTATTTCTGATTTATTGCTGTCATTAAACAAGCTTCAGTGAATTCCCCCATACATTCATCTTTGCTCCCCTATTTGCTAATCCTCCAGCCTTTTTTGTTTTTTGTTTTTAATCCTCACCCAAGGATATTTTTTCATTTATCTTCAGATAGAGCGGGAGGGAGGAAGAGAGAGCGAGCGAGAGAGAGAAACATCGATGTGAGAGAGACACATTGATTGGCTGCCACCTGCACAACCCCAACCGGAGCCGGGTGGAACTGCACCTGAGGTATGTGCCCTTGGCCGCAATCAAACCCAGGACTCTCTGCTCTGCGGATGGACGCTCCAACTGCTGAACCAAACCAGCCAGGGCTGTATTTTTTTTTTTTAAATTCTCACCTGAGGATATGTTTAGAAAGAAGAAGGGAGAAAAAGAGAGAAACATCCATCGATTGTCTCCCTTACATGCCCCAACTGGGGATCGAACCTGCAACCTAGGTATGTGCCCTGATCAGAAATCGAACCCACAACCTTTTGGTATATGGGATGACACTGACACTCTGACCAACTGAACCACCTGGCCAGGGCTCTCCAACTTCTTTTCTCAAGAGTGCTAGCAGTGTGTTTACAGAATCACACAGGTATGCACAGTTAGCTGTGGATGACCCAGTTCCCAGAGGGGCTGTTTTTGGCTTGATTCTGAGATGAGGATTAAGTTTCTATCACGCAGAGCTGTCCAGAGACTGAAGAGCTCATGGTGGGTGGTCATGAATGTCCCCAACATGCTGTTGGAAAGTAGAACTGAGCATCCATGGAGGAGGGAAAAGCGGGGGTGGGGTGCGGTGGTGGTGTCAGAAATTGGGAATCAGACACTTCACAGTGGATTCAGTAGGTGACTTGCGATGGCCCTATTCAGGTTAAGACTGTATGTGCAAACATGCAGATATTCTTTCCTTATCTCCGTAGCCTCAGAATAAGAGGACTAGAAGCAAATCAGAGTAAGCCATGAGTTTTTTGTTTTTTGTTTCTTTATTCCTCACCTGAGGATATTTTTCTACTTATTATCAGATAGAGTGGAAGGGAAGAAGGGAGGGAGAGAGAGGGAGATAGAGAGAAACATCAATGTGATAGAGCCACATTGACTGGTTGCCTCCCTCACGACCCAACCAGGGCCGGGGACAAAACGCAACTGAGGTATGTGCCCCTGACCGGAATCAAACATGTGACTCATTGGTCCACGGGCCGACGCTCTAACTGCTGAGCCAAACCGGCCAGGGCACGCCATGGGTTTTAACTCCCCACTGCACTCATGATAAAGCCCAGCTCCTTGCATGGCCTGGCCCCTGCCACCCTCGCGCCTCCCTTCTATCCCAATTCCTGGTGTGTCTCCAGCACTCCAGGGCTTCACACATCCTGCTCCCTCTGTCTGGAGTGCTCCCCCTATCTCTTCAGTCCCATTATTCTGCTGGTCCCCTTTATTTTTTATTTTATTTTTTTTAAATTTATTTTCCTTTATTGATTTTAGAGAGAAAGGGGAGAGGGAGAGAGAGAAACATCGATGAGAGAAATCATCGACCGGCCGCCTCCTGCATGCCTCCCACTGGAGACCAGGCCCACAACCTGGGCATGTGCCCCAACTGGGAATCAAACCAGCAACCTCTTGGTGCATACATGGGTTGACACTCAACCACTGAGCCACACCGGCTGGGCCCCTTTAAATGTCGCTTCCTTGGAGCTGCTACCCTGAGAACTCTTGTCCACCCCATCTGGTTTACATTAGACTCCTCTTCCTTTAGTTCTAGAACTGTCTTCTCCCTCTTTGCACTCAGCAGTTTGTGACAGTCTGTTCCCCTGTGTGCTGGTTGTTCCCTGTCAGCCTCCTTTGCTAGACTGGAAGCTCAGGGTGGGTGGGGGCAGGCTTCCTGGCTGGCTGGCTCCTCACTGAGTCGCTAACTCCTAAAACCGTGTCTGGTACACAGTCAACGCTCAATTTTGGTTGAATAAATGAATGAGGTTGTATTTCCCTGTGACCCAAGCCCAACTGGAAGGGAAGGCGGGGTCACCTTGCCTTTCCCTTTCTTCTTCCATTCTTCCAGCCAATACTGATTGCTCCTCATTGGGTGCCAGACACTGGCCAGGGTGAGGGACAAAGCAATGAACAGAAGACTTGATCCTGCTTTTCCACAGTTTGGGGGAGGGGGTCCAAGCAGTTCACATAAAGAACGTCTGAGGGCCGGGGGAAGCCCGTCTCCTTCTTTCCTGCAGTTCCAGGAGGATGGATTCCTGGTACTAGAAGGATTCTTGTCAGCAGACGAGTGTGTGGCCATACAACAGAGGGTTGGTGAAATAGTGGCCGGGATGGATGTCCCTCCCCACTGCCGCACAGAATTTTCCACCCAGGGAGAGGAGCAACTGTCAACCCAGGTAGGTACCTGGGCAGGTGAGGATGTGAGCTGGTCTTTGATGGGGGGCTCAATCCCCAGCCAGAGCAGCAGCCTGGAGGCCCAAGGCTCATTGTGGTAACAAATCAGGCCCAAAGCCTTCTGTGTGCCAGGCTCCAGGCTAAATGCCTTACATGCAGATCTCCTTCACTCCTCACTGTGAATGTGTAAGGTAGCATTACGGTCCCCATTTGACAGGCAGGGGAAATGGAGCTTCGCTCGCTTGCCCCAAACCATAGGGTTAGTTAGCCATCAATAGAGCAAGGATTTGAACCCAGATCTGTCTGATACCAAAGCCATACTGTTTGCTGCTCTGCACCACTTCTTCCATAGTTCTCCAGTCACAAAGGCCTCCTGGTGGCCAGTGACCCAAAATGAGCCAAGTGATTCTAATGGGCCCGCCTGTGTAGGGCTTATCCCCCAATGAGACTACAAACTGCTCGTTTCCCTCTAGTGACCTAGTACGACTCAGCACAGTTTGAGATGGGGAAGATGAGACTTGGAGATTCTCCCACACAGTTCTCTACTCAGCCCCCAAGCCCACGCTGTCTGTGGTCCAGGCCCACTAACGGGCCTCACACTTACGGTGAGGAGCTCCTGCCATCTGGTGGGCACAAAGGGAATCACAACGACCCAAGCCATACAGCCAACAGGTCAGGAACTTTAGAAGGAAAAAAAGGGTTAGTCCTGGCTGGTTTGGCTCAGCGGTTGGAGCGTGGGCCTGCGGACCAGAGAGTCCTGGGTTCGGTTCCCGGTAGGGGCACATACCAAAAGGAAAAAAAAAAGAAAAAGGGTTACAGAATGATAATTTCCTCTAGAAAGTTAATTTGTCAGCATCCCAATGGGGAAAGCAGATACAGGGTTCCTGTGTCTGGTGTCCCTCAAAGGCTCCCAGGAGTGAGGGAGCTAAATCCTGTGCTCTTTTGAGAATGCTCCAGAGACCAGTGAGGGGGCAGGGGGAGGACGGGAGAAACAAGTCTATATATCTTGGTTTACAGTGCTTGTGAAAAGCTCGGCACAGTGCCTGGTACTCAGTAAACCCTCAATATTCACTACTGATCTTGTGAAAGACTTTGAAATTTATAAAAAGATGAGAGGGTGTCCTGTCTAGTTCCCCCAGCTTACCTTCCTCCCACCTCTCATTGCCTTTGCATTATTTTACAACTCTAAGTCGTATAGAATTGATTATTATGCACATAAGATATTTGTCTATAGAACTAAATGTGAACTGGGTCTGGCAGAATGCAATTATTATTCAGTGCCCTGTACTGATTACAATTATTCAGAATGCAATTATTCTTTTTTGTTGTTGTTGTCTTTTTGAGAGTATGTGCCCTTAGTGGGAACCAAACCCGGGTCTCTCTGGTCTGCGGGCCAGTGCTCCAGCTGCTGAGCCAAACTGGCCAGGGCCAGAATGCAATTATTCTTATTGCTCTGTAGACAGATCAGTTTTGCATTGATTTGAACATTCATTTCAGCATTCATTATTGCCCACATGTGCATGGTTCAGGGAATTCTCCACTGAATATCTTACGGGTTCCCCTGTGAATTATTATTTTTAATGTTTTTAATGATTTTAGAAAGAGAGAAAGGGTGAGGGAGAGAGAGAGAAACATCAACCGGCTGTCTCCTGCACACCCCCTACTGGGGATTGAGCCTGAAGCCCAGGCATGGGACAATGCTCAACCAACTGAGCCACACCGGCCAAGGCTTCCTTGTGATTTAATGAATTAAGTAAAATCTTTGACACATTTAGCATCATTACCTTCAATATTATTATCAATTATGTTTTCCTGACCTGTTTTCCTCCCTCAACCCTGGTGCAGAGGAGCTAATAATGTTGGGAAAAAAAACTTTTTGTTTTTAGCGGGAAGGGCTTTGAAGAGGCCAGGCAGGTCACCAAGTTGAGCCACACAGACACACATGAGGAAGTGTCAGGGCAGTGCCCCTGGGAACCCAGGTGGGGGGGTTGGTGCCACCCAACTCCACTCATGCTGCCATGCAGGAAGGTAGGGATATATATAATGGTGGTCAAGGGTGGCTAAAGCCACGGGAAAACATGGGGCATCTTTCTGCATCATCATTTTCATATAATGCTAAGAAATTTAAAACATGATATGAAAATTAACATGGAGAGGTTATTAAGAAAGCAGAAAGCTTTGGTCAGTTTGGCTCAGCGGTTAGAGCATTGGCCTGCGGTCTGGAGAGACCCGGGTTTAGTTCCTGCTAAGGGCATGTACCTTGGTTGCAGTTTGTCCCTGGCTCTGGTTGGGTTGTGTGGGTGGCAACCACTTGAAATGTCCCTTTCACATCGATGTTTCTCTCTCTCGATTAGTACTAGCTTATATTTTCAAGCATTTAGCCATGCCTTTGCCAGGTGTTTTCCATTTAGCAGCAATAGTAATAATAATAATAAAAGCAGATGTTCACATGTCACTTAACCTTACTCCAAGGACTGTTCTAGTGCTTTATACATATCTACTTGTAATCCCTACAACATCCTATGAAGATAGGTAATTAATAGCAACTATGTTTTATGAGGAAGTTAAGCCCAGAGAGGTTCAGTAATATGGTTGTGGTCATACAGCCAGTCAGTGGCAGAGCTGAGATTTAAACCCAACTATTCTAGCTCCAGGGTCTGTGCTCTCCACTGCTATACGATTCAGCCTCTACCTAAAGCCTCCAACAATACTGGGGAGGTCAATTCTGTTATTATTCCCCTTTGCAGATGAGGAAACGGACGCTTTGAAAGGTAACACAAGTGGCCCAAAACTATCTGGGCAGCAGGCCTGTTTGGTTCTTATGCCTGTGTTGTGAACATACCATAGCCAGTGTGAGTCGTGTCACTTATTAAGAGGTTTCCAAGAAATTCCATGCTTGTAGCTTCTGGCTGTGCTTCCAGGTACTTGGGGTTCGGTTCACTTCTGCCTCAGGTCTGAGGCAGTGGACAGGTCTGAGAAGCACCAGTAGGGTCTATAGCCCTGTGGAGCATTTGAGTTTTCTTCTTTCCTCGCCAGGCCCAGCTCTGACCCCGTGATACCCTCTCAATCCCTCTGATGTTCCCCCTCCACAGGGCAGCTCAGACTATTTCTTGAACAGCGGCGACAAGATTCGATTCTTCTTTGAGAAAGGTGTTTTTGACAAAAAAGGTTCGTAGCTGGGGCCCTAGAGTTGGGGGTGCGTTGGACTCGGGTATCTGCCCTCAGGGCTTGGGGGGCACTGAGGTCAGCTACCCAGGGGAGGCTGTACCCCAGCTCTTCACCTTTATCTATTCCTTGTGCCACAGGAAATTTCCTGGTCCCTCCAGAGAAATCCATCAACAAAATTGGCCACGGTAAGAAGGCACCTTGATGAAGGGACCTGGGTAAACAGGCCTGAAGAATTTAGGGGGGTTACCTAAAGCACACAGTAAGTTAGTGGCCCCGCAAATGGCATTTCTGACAGCAGTGCCCCCTCTTGCCCTGCTCCCCTGCATCTTATGATGCTAATCACATGGCACTGGGAACAGGGGTCCACAGAAACCCCACACACAGATGGGCACATGCAGACCCCTCAGTTGCCCTGGCCTGGGGATGATCCAGGCCCTGGCCTGGGGGACTCCTGGGTCCCACCGCTCCCTGGAGCCTGCTTAAGGAGCACCTACCATGTTAACATGGTCCCTGTTCTGAGTTACCCAAACCAAGCTAGGAAACTCTCTCTCTCTTTTTTTTTTTTTTCAGGACAATGCATTATAATTTATTTTGCAGACTGCTTATTATTATTTTTATATCCTCAACCTAGGATATGTTTTTATTGATATTTAATTTTTTTTTTTTATCCTCACCCGAGGATATTTTTCCGTTTTTGTACAGATAGAGGGGGAGGGAGAGAGAAGAAGGGAGAGAGAAACATCGACGTGAAGGGACACATCGAGTGGCTGCCACCCGCACGACCAACCAGGGCCGGGGACAAACTGCAACCGAAGTACGTGCCCTTAGCGGGAACCGAACCCGGGTCTCTCCGGACCGCAGGCCGACGCTCTAACCGCTGAGCCAAACTGGCCAGGGCTGTTTTTATTGATATTTAGAGAGAGGGGGGGAGGTAGAGAGAGAGAGAAACATCAATGTGAGAAAGAAACATTGATCTGTTGCCTCCCGTACTCACCCTGACTGGGGATTGAACCCACAACCTAGGTATGCGCCCAGACCTGGAATCAAACTTGCAACCTTTTGGTGGATGGGATGACACTCCACCCAACTTAGTCACCCAGCCAGGTAGTCACCAGGCCAGGGATAGACTGCTTGTTTTTTTAATCCTTTTAAAATATTTTTTTTCCATTTATCTTCAGATATAGTGGGAGAGAGGGAGGGAATGAGGGAGGGAGAGAAAGAGAGAGAGAAACATCGATATGAGAGATACACATCTACTGGCTGCCTCCCGCTTGACCCGACCAGGGCCAGGGACTGAACCGAAACTGAGGTATATGCCCTTGACTGGAATTGAACCTGCAACTCTTTGGTCTGCAGGCCGATGCTCTAACTGCTGAGCCAAACTGGCCAGGGCTAGACTGTTTAGTTTTAAATCTGAAGTTATATCATGGTAGCTTTGTAAAAAAAAAAAAAAATGTCATAAAATACATATAACATAAACTTTACTATTGTAACCATTTTGAAGTGTACAATTCAGTGGCATTAGTACATTCAACCCTCGCTTTTTAAAAAATTGAGGTATAATTGACATATAACATTTCAACCTCCACCCCCAGCTCCATCCCCAGTCCCCTGCTTTTTGTAGTAACAACATAGCAAATAATGAGAGGAGTGCTATTCAGTGCAGGCCTGGGCTGTGGTTGCACATGAGTTAGCCCTGGGAGTCCTAGGCAGCCTGGGAGGCAGGGCAGAGGAGGACACTGAGGCTCACAGGAGAGAAGTCACATAGAGTAAGTGGCAATACTGAGAATGCTACCAAGTGATGTGCCCCTTGGAGCCCTTTGTCCTCTGAACAGTGGGAAGTCAGGACTGGAGTGATTCTCAGATGTCTGGAAGGACAAGAATAAGGTTGTGGGTGGGATGGGACCTAGGGTGGGGTGAAGTTGTCTGTGGGGCCCACTCCTTGGTTATAAATAGCAGAAAGCTTTATGCACAAAATCGGTGACATGAGGCCTGAGTTTGGATGCCCAGGGGCTGGGGACTGGCCCATTAGCCCACCTCTGTCCTACAGCTCTGCACGCTTATGACCCTGTCTTCAAGTGTGTCACACACTCCCCCAAGATGCAGGTGAGCAGAGGTGGGGGCGAGGGTGGGCGGATGGGCCAGATGTGAGTGTGACTAGGCTGGCAGTGTGACCTCTGCCCTCTTCCAGGCGTTGGTCAGAAGTCTAGGCTTCCAGATGCCTGTGGTGGTGCAGAGCATGTACATCTTTAAGGTAAGCTCCCCAACCTCCTCAGGCCTCAGTTTACCCTCTGTAAAATGGGCAGAGTGCTCGTACCAAACTCCTCCTTACAATGGGACAAAAGCTGCTTCCCAAAAAAGTTATTGTTAAGTTGGGGGGAGAACATGTCAAATCGGTCTTCTCTGGCTAAGGCACCTGGCACAGTTAAAACGTGGTGGTAGGAGGGAAGGGGATCCCTAGGACTACCCCCTCCCATTTTTGGCTATTGAAATGCTCTGCTCCCAGCTTTCAAGACCCCATTCGGTACCACCTCCTCCAAGAAGCCTTCCAGCTCCCTTGGGAAGAGAGGGACTGCCCTGGGTCCCAGCCTTTCCTGCTGCCCCTCACTTCTGCCTCGTGTTTCATTAGGCATGTCCATGGTCAGACTGGGAGTGCCCTGAAGGGCAGGGTGGTTTTTCTCTTTGCAGCCTTCCTGGGCCTGGCACACAGTAGGTGCTCAGTAGATGGGTGCTGATAGAAAATCCTGGGGAACAGCTCCCCACAGACTCAGAGTGGCCCCTTTCCAATCCTGCCCTCCCCTGGTCTCATCTAGCCTTCTCTTTCTTGCAGCAACCTCACTTTGGTGGCGAAGGTGAGCCCAGAGCGGACTGAATGCCCAGCAGAGGCCATGGTGGGAGATCTGGGACATTAGTGGTTGTTGGGTCTTCAGAGGGAGGGAGGGCACTTGCCGAGATGTCCATAGGCCAAGGAAAAGAAGCTACCTTCGTTGCTTCCTGGAACAGTGGAGTAGGAGGGTGTCCGGAAGGCCTTGGCACAGTAGTTCTTGAACCTGGATGCAACTCCTAACTAGTTAAAAATACAGATTCCTGGCCCTGGCCGGTCTGGCTCAGCGGTTAGAGCGTCGGCCTGCAGACCAGAGAGTCTCAGGTTTGGTTCCTGCAAAGGGCACATACCTTGGTTGCAGTTTGTCCCCATGTGGGTGGCGACCAATCAATGTGTCTCTTACATCAATGTTTCTGTCTCTCTCTCTCTCCCCTTCTTTCTCCTTCCTGCTCTATCTGAAGATAAATGCAAAAATGTCCTCGGGTGAGGATTAAAAAACACCAAAAAACAGATTCCTGAGCTCCATTCCCTGAGATCATGAGTCAGTAGGGCTGCCAGGGCCCGGGAATCCTGTATTCTTTTAAAAAAATATGTTTTCATTGATTTTTTTAGAGCAAGAGGGAGAGAGAGATAGAAACATCCATGTGAGAGAGAAACATCAATCATTTGCCTCCTACCCACCCCCTACTGGGGGTTCAAGCCTGCAACTCGGGCATGTGCCCTGATCATGAATCGAACTGAGACCTCTGAGGTCCCACTGAGCCACACCGGCTGGGCTTAATTTTTTTAAATGCTCACCTGAGGTACGTGCCCTTGACCAGAATTGAACCTGTGACTCTGGTCACAGGCCAGCGCTCTAACCGCTGAGCCAAACAAGCCAAACCGGCCAGGGCTGTTTTTTTTTTAATCCTTACCCAAGGATATATACACATATATATTTTTTATCCTCACCCCAGGATATTTTTTTTACATTTATCTTCAGATAGAGCGGGAGGGAGAGAAGGAGGAAGAGAGAGAGACACACACTGACTGGCTGCCACCCACACAACCCCAACCAGAGCCGGGGACAAACTGCAACCAAGGTACATGCCCCTAGCGGGAACCGAACCCAGGTCTCTTTGGTCCTTGGGCCAACACTCTAACCGCTGAGCCAAACCAGCCACGGCAGGATATTTTTCTATTTATCTTCAGATAGAGTCGACAGGAGGGAAAGAGATGGGGAGAGAGAAGGAGAGAGAAAATACGTCGACATGAGAGGGACACATAGACTGGTTGCCTCCCACACAACCCCGACTAGGGCTGCAGTCAAACCACAACCGAGGTATATGCCCTTGGCTGGAACTGAACCTAGGACTCTTTGGTCCACAGGCCCACGCTCTAATTGCTGAGCCAAACTGGCCAGGGTTGATTTTCTTTTTTTTTTTTTTTATCCTCACCCGAGGACATTTTTCCATTTTTTGTTCAGATAGAGTGGGAGAGAGAGAGAGGACGAGAGAGAGAGAGAGAAACATCGATGTGAAAGGGACACATCGAGTGGCTGCCACCCGCACGACCAACCAGGGCCGGGGACAAACTGCAACCGAGGTACATGCCCTTAGCAGGAACCGAACCCTGGTCTCTCTGGACCGCAGGCCGACGCTCCAACCACTGAGCCAAACCGGCCAGGGCTGGCCAGGGTTGATTTTTATTGATTTTGTTTTTCTTCTTCTTCTTTTTGGTGGTGCGTGTCCCTAGTGGGAACCGAACCCGGGACTCTCTGGTATGCAGGCCGATGCTCAACTGCTGAGCCAAACTGGCCAGGGCTGTTTTTTTTAATTGATTTTTAATAAAGAGGGAGCGAGAGAGAGAAACATCTATTGGCTGCTTCCTGTATGCCCCCTACTGGGGATTGAGCCCACAACTCGGGCATGTGCCCTGACCAGGAATCGAGCCAGTGACCTCTTGGTGCATGGGATGACACTCAACCACTGAGCCATACTAGCTGGGCTGGAATCCTGTTTTTTTTGTTTTTTGTTAATCCTCACCTGAGGATATTTTTCCATTGATTTTTTTAGATAGAGTGGAAGGGAGAGAGGGAGGGGGAGAGAAAGAGAGAGAAACAACAGTGAGAAAGACACACTGATTGGTTGCCTCCTATATGACCTCAACTGTCACCTCTGGGGATCAAACCTGCAATCCAGGTACATGCCCTTGACCGGAATTGAACCTGTAACCCTTCAGTTCAGGTCTAAGGGCTGACGCTCTAACCACTGTAGCCAAACTGGTCAGGGCTGGAATCCTGTAGTCTTAACAAATTCCCTGGAGGACTGACTCAGCAAAAAAAAATTGGTCTAATTCCAAACCCTTTATGGCCTCCCTCATGGGCAATTACCCACTTATGCTCAAATACTCACAGTGACAGGGAGCCTACCCACTCACAGACAGCCCATTCCTTTCTTACACTAGCCCAAACTGGCCACCTTGTGACCACGTCCTCTTCTCGCCATTCAGTCAGAGGACAGTCTCTCTGACTGGATGGCCATCCCCTCCCCAAGTCCAGCACTTCCATTCAGCCATTCCTTCTCCAAATGTTTTGGAATGCTCACCTTTAGGACACTTTCCTCTGGACACTGTCGGAATTGTCAATGCCCCTCTTCAAGTTTGGTACTCAGAAACACACAATTCCCCAGGAAGGCTGAGGCGAGACCCCCTTTACTTGGTTGTTACAGACAAAGGTCCTTTGGTCAGTGGTCCTCCATCCTGGCTGGGCCCCAGCATTATGGGGGGGTTATTTATGATGCTTGGTCAGTTGTGCTTCCCCCCAACTTTGTGCTCAACTCCCCAGACTTACACTTATACTGGGTGAATCATCTGGTACTGGAGGTGCTTGTCCCTAGTTAAGGACGATGGCTTTAGTTACCTGGCTGGAATTAAACAATAGCAGCTGCTTTTTAGCAAGTAATTACAATGTCGGTCCTGCACTGGCACTTTTCACACATTATGGACTCCTCCAGCGATCCCACGAGGTAGGTTAGTGTTGGGGCCACTTTACAGTTTTAGGACATTGAAGCTTTAAGAGGTAAAATCTCTTGTTCCGAGTCTCCAGGCCAGGAAGTGATGAAATTCTAACTGATCATGGGCAGGCTGGGCCTGGAGGGCTCTGAGATGATTGGGGAGTGGGAAACAGGGCCAAGGCGAAATGGGGCCCGGCTCCTCATGCCCAGTGGGCTTCTGCAGTCACCCCTCACCAGGATGCCTCCTTCCTGTACACGGAGCCCCTGGGCCGCGTGCTGGGCATATGGATCGCGGTGGAGGATGCCACGCTGGAGAACGGATGCCTCTGGTTCATCCCTGGCTCCCATACCAGTAAGGACACCTGTCTCTCCCTGCCCACTCATACCCTACCCACCATGGAAGAGGGGCCTGGAAAAAAGAAAGGCTAAAGGCTCCATCTTGGTCTGCAGGTGGAGTGTCGAGAAGGATGATCCGGACCCCTCCTGGCTCGGTGCTTGGCATCAGCTTCCTGGGGTCAGACCCAGACTGGGATAACAGCCTCTTTGTGCCTACACCAGTGCAGAGAGGTAGGTGGGATGCAGAGGGCAGGAAGGCAGGGCCCTGTGGCCAAGCCCGTGGGACTCTGCTTGCTCTGACCACCCGCACCAGAGTGCTGTGAACTCCCTGAGTGAGAGGTCACTGGACACTGGGAAATTGGAAAGCAGAGGGACTAACAGCAAGGTCTCCGATCAGACTAGACTCCAGACTCTGGTATTTCTGGACTATTTGGGAAAATGATTGACTCTCTCTGAGCCTCCGTTTCTCCAGATGGAAAGTGGGGGAGTTGGTGAGATGTATCTAAGATGTTTACACAGAACCTGTGTGGCACACAGCAAGTGCTCCCAGATACCAGCTATTAGTGCCCTCTCTTCTTTTTGGAAAAGGGAAAACTGAGGTTCAACTCAGTATTCACTGGCAAGATCCCAGCTGACCAGCCCAGCTTCTGCCTTGTTCTGCAAACACCACAGAAGGGGATGCCCTTGCTAAAGCTTGCCAAGGGCACAGGCCCCAGCAGAAGAGACCAAGTCCTGGGGAACCAATGTCCCACAACACAGCCTCAGATCCTGGGGCACGCTGCAGGCCTCTGAGCTTTCAGGGATGAAAATGGGGCAGGGGGTGAGGGGGTTTGAATAGGCCATAAAACTGATTGAGAAAACTGATTGAGTCTTGGAGGGCCCTGTGTCCCTTCCTGACCTGCCGTGTCCCTGCTAGGGGCTCTTGTCTTAATCCACGGACAAGTGGTGCACAAAAGTGAGCAAAACCTCTCCGACCGCTCACGCCAGGCCTATACTTTCCACCTCATGGAGGCCTCTGGCACCATCTGGAGCCCAGAGAACTGGTAGGTAGCAGGGAGGGGGTGTCCCCGTTTCCTAAAGATCCTGGAGGCTTGGGGGAGCAGTGATACTGACATTTTAGGGTCGTTTCCTCTTGTCTTCTGCAGGCTCCAGCCAACAGCTAAGCTGCCCTTTCCCTCACTGTATACCTAAAGGCTCCTGTAGGGCTAGGCACTGTCCCCTCCCCGGAAGCTGTGGGCTGCAGACACCGGCACCTCACCCGACCGCCCAGCTGCAATGGGGAAGTCACATCTCTCCTGAGCTTTCTTTCTGCTCGTGTCTGTGCCCCTTGGCCCTGCAGAAAGGCAGGCAAGAGGTGGCAGCCGAGCAGCAGGAGCCCTCCCCCCTGCCCCAACACAACCACCCTCTAGAGGCAGCCTCTCAGCTACAGAAGGGTTCTCTCCACTTCTCTGCCAGCTTCTTACTCTTTTCCCCTCTCAACAGAACTCTATTACGGTGCAAGACATTGAATAAAAATGACTTCCGAATGCAGTTTCTCTATCCTTCTTTCCCAAGCAGACATAGGGCCCTGTTGAAAATCATCCCGGGTTGCCCTGGTCGGTTTGGTTCAGCGGTTGGAGCATTGGCCTGCGGATGAGAGTCCCTGGTTCGGTTCCCACTAGGGGGCACATACCAAAAAGAAAAAGAAAAAAAGAAAATCATCCCGGGTTGATCCAGTGATCCCACTTCTAGGAATATACCCTAAGAAGCCTGAAACACCAATCAGAAAGAATATATGTACCCCCATTTTCATAGCAGCACTATTTATAATAGCTAAGATCTGGAAACAGCTCCAATGTCCATCAGTAGACAAATGGATAAAAAAGCTGTGGTACATATACACAGTGGAGTACTATGCAGCTGTAAGAAAGAAAGATCTCTTATCCTTTGAGATGACATGGAGGGACCTGGAAAGTATCATCCTCAGCGAAACAAGCCAAACAGAGAAAGACAAGTATCATATGATCTCACTTATTTGTGGAATATAAAGAACCTAACAGTCTGAGGAATGGGGTAGTCCCAGTGATGTGGAAGTGGGGTACAGACAGACAATCCCCAGAAAAGGGGGTTGGGGGAGGGGAAATAAACCACAGAACTTGTATGCATGAACAATGGACATGGACAATAAAGCTGGGGACAGGGCAGGGAGGGAGGGTGAGGGGGGAATCAGTGGGGAAAAAAGAAACAATTGTAACAAAAATAAATTAATTAAAAAATTAAAAAAAAAAATCATCCCGGGTACCCCAGCCCTGCCTGGTGAGGCTTGCTGTTTTCCTAACAGCAAGTCACATTTAGTAGACACTCACTCACTGTGCCAAGAGCTTCACATGTTGTATCTCAGTGAGTCCTCACACCAATGGACCTCTTAAGTAGGTGCTCTTACTATCCACGTTTACACATTAAGTGACCTGTTCAAGTCATACAGCTGTTTGGTTGTTCGAGCTCAGCCTGATTCAGAGTCTGTGCTTCTAACCTGGGGGAGGGGGAAATACAATTAGGGCTGGGAATCCAGTCCAAGATTCTGGTCCTGGCTCTGTGACCAAGTAGCTTTCTGGTTTCAGGCCAGGCCCTTCCTCTTTCTGGGCCTGATGGAGGGCCTCCATGGGTCCCTCCTGTTTGGGCATGCTTGGTAGGGGCCCAGACCTTTTAAAGGAACAAATAACAAATCTAGAACCTGTGTAGCCAGGGTCTGGCCCAGAGGTTACAAATCAGGGGCTACTAGCTTATTCCAGATCACAGATGTGTTTTTGTCTGGGCCTTAGCTTTTTAATAAAAACCTTTTAAAATTGGGCAATTTCACATAACAATAAGATTTCCAGGCTTCCTTGAAAGAACAGGTCAACAGCACTGGGCCTATAGTCTAGCATGCTGACGAGTGGCTGGAGCTGCCTCCCTAGAGGTACGTGTGCTCTCTGCATCCCACTTCCCTCGTTCTTCTTCATTGCATTACCTGAGTTTGTGATCTCAATTTCCAGCTCCCGCTGTGTGCATGGACAAGCCAAGGCCCAGGAGACAGAGAGCCCTTTCCAAGGCCACACGGAGTTGAGGCAAAGCTGCTGCTCTTACCCAACAGTTCGCGACCTCCTTAACCAGCGGAAGGGAGTCTGAGAGAAGGGAAGGGTTTGTAAAGTCTCCTTTGAGCCCCTCAAAAATGTCTCAATACTTTTCTGAGGAAAAGGACATGGCAATAATTCCATGAGAACTTAGGCCTACTAAGGCCAGAAGCCAGGCTAGGCCCCTCCCTGCCGGGCTGGGTGAGAAGTGGGGAGAAACTTGCTCCTCTTCCTCCAGCCCTTCTGCACATGCAACAAGCCTCCGCTTCAGCTCTTCCTAGCCCCAATGGGAGAAACCAGATGCATTTGGCTATTTTTCTCTTGGGTTCTCCTTTAAATAAAGCCAAGATTACTCTTTCTCCCAAGTATAACCCATTAAAGTATAACCGTTGGCTTCCTGCGAGGAGGACTGGCCTTGGGCAATAATGACCTTTCCCTTAATGATTGCTCATGATGTGTTGGCCCTGGGCTGAACACTGTCCACGCCTCACCTCAACAGATCCTCACAACACCTTGTGAGGTGCAGGCTCTTATATTATTCCCATCTTGCCCATAGTGGTTAAGCCATTCGCAGTTAAGAAGTGGTACAGCCAAGGATTCACCAGTTTAGTTTGACACAGGACCTAAAGTGTTAACCATTATGCAATATGGCCTCCACTGTCCACTCTGGCACCCTCTGAGCATTGCAAGCTGAGAGGGTGGCCCACAGCACTCAAATTCTTTGAGTTGTTGCACTATCCTTCACGCCTCTTGTTTTTTAATATCAGTAAAACTAAAACCAGGAGAGCTTTAATTTTTATTTTGAATCTGAATCAACTGAAAAATCAAATCTGCTTCTCACCCCTTGGCTCCTCATGCCCAAGTTGCTGGCTGCTGTTGGGACAATTCATCCTTCCCATGTCCCTGTTTCCTCCATCGCTGCTGCACAGCAGCTAGGCCATCAGCAATATCAAGAGGTAGAGAGGCAAAAGGAGATTGTCTATCTGTGTAGTGTATGCTTCTAGGAGGGACACTGTGCTGATGGACCCCAAAATCCAAGCATAACTTTGGTTTAGATCCACTTCGCTGTCAAAGATTAAGATCAGAGCTACAGAAATGATCTGGGCAAATATAGATGTCATGGTCCCCTCAAAAGTCTTTTTGGTTCCAGGCCAGCGGATTTCCCCCATGGTGCTGCCAAAGATGGAGGCCATAGTGTCACCCACACCCACAGCCAGGACGCCAGCATAGGGGACTAAGGCCCTTGCTCCTCCCAAGCTACCCTTCTGTGTGCAGGGTCTGGGGACTAGCCAAATGGGAAGAGACATGCCCAGCAGCAGGTAGATGTGTGTCAGGATGAGCGGTCCACTGTCTCGTTCATCCAGGAAGAGGGAGAGGAGGCTCCGCAGAGTGTGGCCTAGGGGCTTAATACGGAAATAGCGCACATATTCTAGGAAGATGAAGACTGCCAGACATAAAGTGGCTGCCACGTAGAGCAGTGGTCGGTCAAAGATGATACCTGGGATGTAGGTGGCTACCACAATGAGGTGGAAATACTTCCGGGTAATGGTGGAGGCCTGGTGCTTCTTGGATTCAGAAGATGACCGCTTGGCATTCTGGTACAGTACCACCAGGCAGGCAAAGGTGGCCAGCAAAGACCAGTAGGCTAGGAGGTAGATGCGGGTTTCCGTCTGGAAGAGGAATTGAAGAAGCCAGAGCAGGGGATTCCTGCGGATGAGCCAGTGCAGCCAGGGCAGGACCACGCCAAGGCCCAGCACACAGGTCATAAGGTGGAAGAAGATGGAGGAGGCCCAGGTGCCTGAGTCCATGAAGACAAAGAGGATGCTGAAGAAGATGCCCATCAGTACCATCCCTATCACTACCACCAGCAGGAGAAAGTCCACTGGGTCCCCCTGGCTTTCCACCACGGTAAGAGAGCGCTTGATAAGCTGGTTGAGCATGAAACTGATGCCACCCAACACCAGCAGTGCCTCCCCAGGGGTGAAGCATCGGGGAAGCAGGTACAGCAGGATCATGTTGAGGTAGACGAAGATCAACAGGACCTCCAGGACCTCGATGACCTCACCCACACTCAATGAGTGCTTCATGATATAAGTGATAACACATCCAGCCAAGCCCGAGATGACACAAGTGTTGGTGGGCACTGGGCGAGTGATGCCCAGTGCTAACACTGATGAGAAGAGGGCCACTGCCATGCCAGTGGCTGCCACCACAATTCCAAAGCGCTCGAAGTATGGGTTCCCAGCGGCCTGGCAGCGCTCTTTCATGACAAGTCCGATCAAAGGCATGACCATCGAAGCAGGCAGGAGGCCACTGTTTGCAGACATTCGGAATTGGAAGACAGCGCTTCCCTGTTGTAGCAGCCGGTCCCATTTGTACTGGACGTAGAAAGCCTGCACTGCGAGAGCCACGGCGCACCACGAGTATCGGTCCAATACGGCTGCGTGAATGCTCAGTACCACTGCAAACACCACTGCCGCCTCTGCCAGCACCGACCCGCTCAGCGGAGCTCCGGTCCCCGGGGCCGGGGGAGCGCGCTGTCGAGTCATGTCTCTAGACCTGGGAACCGGGACAAACCGGGGTGACTAGGGTCGCCTTGGACTTTGTGCCTCAAGCCCAGCGAGGCAGAGAGCCGCAGCTTCACCCAGCCAGCACCTTCTCTCTTCGTTCTCCAGCTGCGAGGACGCAAGCTCCAGTGTAGGGCACTCTGTGAAGACTGGGAGCTGGTGCCTGGTCACCCTCCACCATCTCCCATCTACGGCGTAGAAGTTGCCACTCTGCCGCCCTCATCACAGCCACGGTTGTCCTAGCCGCGAGTTCTTAACCTCTCTGGGAGGCCGCCATGTTGGCCCCGCCCCGCCGTCACGTGACGAAAAGCCCCGTCCACGCGCCCGTTTGGAGGCGAGCGGTCACATGGGCACGGCTCTTGGGGGCGGGGCTAGGCCGCGCGCGCGCGCGCGAAGATGGCGGCTGCCGCCGGCGAGCCGTGTGTGAGGTGCGGAGCGGGCCGATTCGGCTGGGGTGGCTGTGAGGCGTGGGCTCGGAACCGAGTGGAAACCGGGCGGGAGTTGGGGGCGAGATGTGGCGGCGGTGGCGGGGCGAAGACTGGCTAGGTGAACGGGCGCCGAGAAGGGAGACGGTTACGTCCAAACGGTCCCCGCGTGCGCGGATCGGAGGCGACTTCTCCAAGAACGGGGTCCTTGCCTCAGTCCTTCCCTCAGCCCCGGCCTCGGGTCTCCTCACCCAGCCTCGTTCCCTTCCCTCTCCCCATGGGCGCGTCCCTCGCCCCCCCACCCCCTGCGCCGCGCTCTCATCCGGCGTGACGCCCCCACCCTGGCGACGCTCCCGGAGTCCCCAGGTGCTGTCTGAGCGGAGGTTCCGTGCCGGCCGCGCTGCTCCCCGCAGTCTCCGCCCGCTTTCTCCGCGCAGCCTTTCATTCATCCCCGTCTTCCTGTTCCCCGGCGGCGAGCCCGCGGCGGCCCGCGGCCCCAGGCACTGTCCTGGGCTCTGGGGACGAGGAGACGAAATGCTGGAGAGGAGCAGTGGTGACCGAGCGCCCCGTGCGCTCCCCGGGTTCCCCGCCCTGCGAGAGGCACTTTCTGATTCACAGACACTCCCACGAGCAGCTCAGAGCTAGCCAAGTGGTGGCGGGCCGGAGTCAGGCCGGCGCCGGCCGGCCGAAGCGCGAACCCCACCTTCCAGCTTCGGGTGTCTCCGTCCCCCTCCACCCCCTCCTCAGTTAGGCGTCCCCGCCCCGCACTGCTCCCCGGGCCAGCGGCGTTTCCTTGCGTTTGTGTCTCGTGTCCTCAACTCCCAGAAGAGCTCGTAGTAAGCTCTTGGTAAATGTTATAAACTGATCATCTCCTCTGAAATCACTTCCTTCCCTTAATCAGCTCAAGTGAGATGTTCTTTGGCATTTCCATTGATTACTCGGGAACTTGTGAGGACCGGCTTGCTTTTTCCTCCTCTGCTGTTTCATGTCGTCTCTTTCTCGCTCGCTCGCTCTCAATGTTTTTTATTCATGCTTAGAGAGAGGAGGGGAGGAGGAGAAAGGTAGAAACATCGACAGACACCGTTGACGGGCTGCCTCCTGCACGCCCCCTACTGGGGATCGAGGCGCGACCCAGGCCTTTGCCCTGACATGGAATCCACCAGCCGCCTCTCCCTGCAGAGGTGGATGCTCAACCACGGAGCCATAGGGCCGGACTTCGTGTCATCTCTTATATCAGGCAGCTTTGTGGTCACTGTACCCTCCTTTAATCATTGCGGAGCTTGGGTAAAGTTTAGCTCCTTCAGGGTAATGCATGCTCTCTCTTTTTTTTTCACTCTCACCCGAAGACAATAATTTTTGTTCAGACGGGGTGGGAGGGAGAGAGAGAAACATCGACGTGAAAGGGACACATCGAGTGGTTGCCACCACTACAACCCAACCAGGGCCGGGGACAAACTGCAACCGAGGTACATGCCCTTAGCAGGAACCGAACCCAGGTCTCTCTGGACCATAGGCCGACGCTCTAACCGCTGAGCCAAACCAGCCAGGGCTTAACAAAGTGTTTTGTACATTGAGCTTTTTGCTTTAGAGAATAGACAAAATAGCTGTGATATAGTTTAGTCCAGTCTGCTTTCTGTCATTTTTCAGGAGCAGTAGAGAACTGTGGACAATTCTGCTTGGCAGGTCAGCTCTGAGAGAACTGGTAAGTGGTAATGTTCTTGAGTGGGTTCTGGGGTTCTTTGTGTAGTTTGTTATTTTTGAAAACTGCCTTCTCGCCCTGGTCAGTTTGGCTCAGCAGTTAGAGCATTGGCCCTCGGATCGAAGAGTCATAGGTTCAGTTCAGTTCAGGTCAAGGGCATGTACCTTGGTTGTGGTTTGGTCCCTGGCCCTGGCCGGGGTTGTACAGGAGGCAACCAATTGATGGGTCTCTTACATCGGTGTTTCTCTCTTTCTCCTCCTCCGCCCCCCCACCCCACCTCACTCCTTCCTACTCTATCTGGAGATAGATGGAAAGGTATCTACGAGTGAGGATTAAAAACAAAACTGCTTTTCTCTTTGAAGTAGGAAGTAAAACTATATAAACATTATGCATTTCTCTCGCTGAAATGTGGTATCTCTTATAGTCTAGCTGCTAAAATTTTCTAAATCGCCACCTTTCTTTGTTCCTTACTGATTCTTTTTCTGAAAAGATGCCAGTGCTGCTTGATTGGTTGCTGAGGGTACAAATACTATTCTGATACCTCAGGCTAAAAAGATTCTCAGGCTTTTGCTCTGTTTCATACTTTACTTTTCTTCCTTTTTCAAGTAGCAAGCTTCTTAGGTCACAGAGGCTGTGGTCTCTAGGACATTTTCAAGTATATAATCAATAAAGGATAGTTCTTCAAATTGATCCTTGGGTGTTGTAACTCTGTGTGTTAAGATGACATTCAATTATTACTATTGTTGTTATTGTAATTAATGTAAGGAAAGTTAGATACTTTTAGAACCTTAACATTTTTTGATACGCCTTTATGTGATCATTTCTCTTCTAGGACTATATCTTTTATAAATTTTTAAAAAATATATTTTTATTGATTTTTAGAGAGAGAGGAAGGGAGAGAGAGATAGAAACATTGATGTGAGAGAGACACATTGATCGGCTGCCTCTTGTATGCCTTTCACTGGGGATTGAGCCTGCAACCTGGACATATGCCTTGACTGGGAATCGAACCAGCACTTCTCAGTCCATGGAACAACACTCAATCCACTGAGCTACACCCACCGGGCTTATATTAATAAGGAATTGCAGTCAGCTTAAGTGTATCTAACATTAGAAGAATGGTAAATAAATTATGATCTGGCCACTTGATAAAATATGCAACCACTAAAGGATTTTTATCAAGACTTTCATAATAAGGTTAGATCATTGTGTTAGAATGTTAAGCAAAGAAAAGGAGGCTACAGAATTCTCTATTCAAATTATTTCAACTGTGGGGAAGAACACTTTTTTTTTTTTTGGTACGTGCTCCTAGTGGGAACCGAACCCGGGATCCTCTGGTCCGCAGGCTGACGCTCTAGCCGCCGAGCCAAACCGGCCAGGGCAAGAACGCATTTTTTTTTTTTTTTCTCACCCGAGGACATGATTCCATTTTTGTTCAGATAGAGTGGGAGGGAGAGAGAGGAAGAGAGGGAGAGAGAGAAACATAGACGTGAAAGGGACACATCGAGTGGCTGCCTCCTGTACAACCCTAACCAGGGCCAAACTGCAACCGAAGTACTTGCCCTTAGCGGGAACGAACCCGGGTCTCTGTGGATCGTGGGCCAACGCTCTAACCGCTGAGTCAAACCGGCCAGGGCAAGAACGCATATTTTTATTTAATTTTTCCTTTATTGATTTTTGGAGAGAGAGAGGAAGGGAGAGGGGGAGAGAAATAGAAACATCAATGAGAGAGAACATCGATTGGCTGCCTCCTTCATGCCCCCCACTGGGGATTTGGCTCACAACCTGGGTATGTGCCCTGACTGGGAATTGAACCAGCAACCTCTTGGTGCATGAGTCGACGCTCAACCACTGATCCACACCAACCAGGCTTAAAAAGACTCAAAGAAATATGTAATCATCACTGCGATCCTGAAGTCTGATTAAAATTGCATTTGTATAACTTCCTTGTTCTTTTCTAGAATCAAATTGAAGCAGAACTGAATAAACATTGGCAGCGGCTATTAGAAGGGCTTTCTTACTATAAACCTCCCAGGTATGGCTATCATGTGCATCTGATTAGAGTAATTCCCCTGAGGAAGCTGGTATAGATGAAACCATTTTCATGTACAGTTTTCATGTATAATTTTATGGTATTGCTGGGTTAGGTAGATCAGAGAGAATACAATTTGGTTACTAGTAGAAATCAAATTTTCTCTTTAAAGGAAACCAGTGGAAATCTGTCTATTTCTAGAAGGGAAATTCCTTCTAGAAATATAGTATTGTTGAATCCAGTTATATAACTATAGTGTCTGGGGGATGAGGGTTTATTAAATATTCAATTAATTATTCTAATATTTATTTTGGTCCACATTATCAGCATAAAATGCTAAAACATATCAGTGAACAATTTTTATTTTGAGGTGAATGTATGGTTTTTTTTTTACTGGGCAGTGGAAAAATAAAGTACAAAGTAGTTTAAAAGATAACAGAATACACCTTTTAGGAAGGACTAGACTCTTTTATTTTAATTCCTAGTCCAGATCACACTCTGTTTATTCATCATAGTTTCCAAGCCATCCATATTTTCCTTCTGCTTCTGAGTATCTGTTATTTTATTACATCTTCACCTTCCATCTTCATTCTCTTAGGTTAGTGAAGAACTTTCTTTCTTGTTCATCTATTAACCCTTCCCTCATAATTATTTTTGAGTAACTCCCAGACATCATTACAGTTATTTTATCTGTAAATATTTTACTATGTATCTAAAATATATGAACTTTAAAAAAAAGATAATCACTTGTTATCACATTTAGGTACTTTTATTATTGTTTCCATTTTACAGATGGGGACACTGAGGCACAAAGAGGTTAAGTAACTTGCCCAAGGTCACACAGCTAGTAAGTGGTAGAACCAGGAGTCAAACCTGGCAGTCTTACTCCAGTGTCTGTGTCTTAACCATCATTCTGTGTTGCCTCTTTCAGAACTTATTGTTTAACCTTATACTAGCCTTTGTGTTGTGGATTTTCTGTGAAATGTGAGTCTCTATAAAAATCCAACAACAGCATGCTTTAGTTTAAAGAATAGAAACTTAGGGCATTAGTTTCTTTTTAAAGATAAAAGTTTCCTTTGTAGTAGCATGGGATTTGAAGTATGACAGACTTTTTTTTCTCATCCTCACCTG